AGTTCAATGAATTTCATATCAGTATAATAAATATTGAATATAGCTTAATGATTTCAATTTATTATTAATTCTAATATATCTTTTTGCATGACATTTAGATATGGTTTTAGTTTGTTTTTTCACATCGTATCATTGTTATATGCATGCCCAGTGCTTTATGACAGGTTTAAGATAACCTTGTTGAGTTGGTTATCCATAACAGAAAATTTAAGGGACAGTTAATAATAGCTTAATTAGTAGTGATTAGATAGTATTATCACTAGAAACTAAAGATAGGCAAAGCATCACTAGGTTAGAGATTGGCGTCCCGGCTTAGATGTAGATAATAAATAAATTAATTGCACAAGATGGTGCCAATTAGGCGCTCTCTAGCATACCACTATTTTTTCCTAGAGAGGTGACCACCCACTTGACTCTAGGATTGTTGATCCGAGACTCTCTGACAAGTTATATATGAATTTTGACAGGCTTTTATGACCCACTTACCCTAACCAAGTCAAGAGGGCAACGTAAACGTATTGGTATAAGCAAGGAGACCTCTCAATAAATTAACTTCAAAGGCCTATTGTTATAACAATTAATTCTATTTTATTATATATATATACTTTGTACCCCATGGGAGTCCTTCTGAAACCGTATTTCTATACGTATCTGATCGATGACTAGCCTTAATCGAAAGTTCTCTCTCGTTAGTGGGAGGGGTAATTAACTATAGGGGCTTGCGCCTATAGGAAACCAGAACTCAGATCATAAAGTCCTCACAAAATGAGGGCGAAATCTCTGGGTAGTGTCTTATCTACAAACCCATCTGCCTTCCAATATTTACCCCGTAACTTATTCAGTTAAAACTCCCTCGCCGAATAAAAAGAAATCGCGCGGCGGGGAGGCCGGGGCCGAATTTTCGGAGCCCACACACACATCTTATTAGCTTAAAATCATTACCATTAGATTGCTAATAGCTTAAATCTTCGACTTTGAGATTCTCATCTATTTCAATCAAAGAAAACTCAACCATCTACTTGAGGAAAGTTTTAGATAAAAATTTATCTCCAAATTCTAAACTAGTCAACCTTCTCTTTTAGCTTTCCACCAATCTTAAACCTTCTACCTCCATTCCAACAACCCTTGAAGTTTATTTACCATCTACCCATCTTTTGGTATCAGAGCCAAAAAGTTCCGAAACCGTATAGCCATTGTCCCAAAAGAGTGAGAAACTCAATAATCCGAAGAGGGACCCCATCACCATAAGGTTCCCGCCCGACAAAAAATTTTGGTTTCAAGAGGAGATTTTATAGTTCATCCTTAAGGCATTTTGAAATCAAGTGATAATATTTGCTTTTCATTTGCTATTATTTAGTTTGGTAGAAATCCATGTTAATGAAATCTAGGATATTAAAATGTTATCTTGGCAATTTTAAAATTATTTTTTTAGTTCAAGCAGTAAACACCATATAGAAGTCAAACTAATCTTATTTTAGAACTTACTATCCCTTTTGGTTTTTGAGAGTTTCATGTAGTTTAAGGTGTACGCCACAAAGAAGTATTTCTTGCAACTTATTGAATTTATTTTCTAAAATATAAAAGTTGAAGTCATATTTTGTGAAGTTTTCTCATGATTAATTAGTTTTATATATGTTTTTCTTCACTTACAAAAATAATTATCTAAAAATTGTTTAAAGATTACAATTTTTTTTTCATATTTACATTTCATTATCTCATAAGCATTTTTTTCTCTTATCGTGCATAATTATTTTTGCCCAAAAAAGAACATAATTGGTTTGTGTATTTGTAATATTAAAATAGTTTTGTCAAAAATTTTTTTTTTTTAAATTGTCCAAGGAGAGCTGGGAACTTATGCAGTCCATTGTGGCCCCTCCTCTCCTGGAAGCCCTTTTGGTCAGGCGTTACACAAATCATTAAGTAGTTTTTGTCCTTTCTATGTTGGCATTTTCATTATTTTAAAATTCTTACACTATTTACTGGACGTTTATAATCATGCAGCTTCATACATCACAATATAATCTCACCAGGACAAAATCTGAAACTTCTATATTTGATGGTGTGCATGACATTAACAAATTGTTTTGATTGGCTCAAACAATTGATGATATTTTTGATTGGCAAAATGTGGATTGCTATTAAAGAACTAACTTTGTAAAATTAAAATTGTCAGCAAAGGCTTGGTAGAAAAACTCTAGCATTGGTAGAGATGAAAGAAATTTTAAAATCTGAATATTGCCCAAGATAGTTTAAAACTCATAACCATAAGATATATTGTTACATATCAGGAAGTATCTTTGTACTTTTGATGGAAGGAGATTAAAAGAGTTAGAGCTTAGCATGAATTATTGAACTCATTGAACTGCTGATAGATTCAATCATATTGATGGAAATTAAAGAATTGTGATAAATTGATAAGACAAGTTTCTAAGGATATCAACTTGTGCTTGACTTTACAGTTGCCAAAAAATGTGTCTAGAAAGAGTTTTTTCCACCAGCTTTTGGTTTAATTTACGAATTAACTTCAATTAAGGTCTACAAATCTAACATATCCATTCTCTGTTGTTTCTTGTTCTTTTACATCCCCGCCACTTTTCCAAGCCTTAACTCATCAGAATTGTCATAATTACATAATATCTAATAGGCACCTTAACAAATATTTTGATGGATGAAGGAAATTCTTATTCTTTTATTTATCTAGATGAAGTTAAGTTTGAGTATATAATATATGAAGAGGCTTGGACTGCCCAAAGATGCTATGGTTTTCAATTGAAGTCCTCAATAGTTGCATGTTATGAGATTCATTTTCATATATGAACCTTTTTTAAGGATTGGAAGCAGAGATGCATATTCCATATTGTTAGAATTCATAGAATTTGAGAAGGGTAAAAATACCTTCTACTTATTATAAAAAATTATTCCCATTTATAGATCTATACAAGATGTCTTAATGAAGAAATAAATAACTTCTAATTGATACATAATTGCCTCAATATAATTCTTCCTAATTCAGCTACCCAAATATAGAAGGATATTGGCGTGATCCAAGTGAGCCTCCCACGGATTCTTATCCTGACCGTGGGATCAAATGCCAAGGGATGACTGAGATTTTGACACTCCCCCTCAAGTTGGAGATCAGCTTGCAATTACTCGCTCAGAGGTAGAGCTGCATTGGTTATGGATAGGATATCAACCACTAGAGAAAGCTGGCAATGAAGGCCGATGATGGAAAACTATCCTCAAAATTCCGACAATTAAGGTCGGTTGTGGGAACCTGTATTTATCATAATTTCAGCAATGAAGGCCGGTGGTGAGAACTTTGTATTCCCTTGAAATTTAGCAATGAAGGCTTCTCGGAGAAAATTTCCCTTGTCGACAATAAAGGTCGATGATAAAGAGTCTCTCCTTTTTTTTTCACTAAAAAAGATTTTTTTTTCTTTCCTGGTTTAATAAACCAAACCAGCCGAGCCTTAAAAAAAAGGCTTGGATCGACCGGTTGTGAGAACTTTGTATTCCTTTGAAATTTAGCAATGAAGGCTTCTCGGAGAAAATTTCCCTTGTCGACAATAAAGGTCGATGATAAAGATTTTCTCTCCTTTTTTTAGGAAAAAGATTTTTTTTGTCCGACAATGAAGGTCGATTTTTTTTTTTTTGGGAAAAAGTACCTTCCCGATTTAATAAACAAACCGGGCCGCCGACTCTTTAAAAGAGTTGGACTGGGTAGCTTAAGGTGCGCACGCAGGGACTCAAGCGGGAGCAGCTCGAGCTTGCGGCTTTGCTCCTTCGACGACTTACCTTCGTCGACTTCGCTACTTCGTCGGCTTCGCTCCTTCGTCGACTTCCCTTTCGGTCGGATCGGGAGCAGCTCGAGCTTTCGTCGACTTCCCTTTTGCTACTTCGACCGTGCTTGGCGGAATCAGAGCCTCCATCTGCAGAAGTAACTGGCGGAACCGAGGTTTCCGTCTGTGGCGGCTCCTTGCAAGATCGAGGGCTTCGGTTGCGGAATTGGGTTGGCAGCTTTTCTTCTGCGGCGACGTCTTGTAGCGTCAGAAGGTTGGATTGTTCGGCGATGAGGGCTGGCGGATTGGCTCTGATACCATGTTTGAATTCATAGAATTTGAGAATGGTAAAAATACCTTCTACTTATTATACAAAATTATCCCTATTTATAGATCTATACAAGATGTCTTAATAAAGAAATAAATAACTTCTAATTGATACATAATTGTCTCAATATAATCCTTCCTAATTCAGCTACCCAAATATAGAAGGATATTAGCGTGATCCAAGTGAGCCTCCCACGGATTCTCATCATGACCGTGGGATCAAATGCCAAGGGATGACTGAGATTTTGACACATATGTATATGACTTTCAAGGATAAGAGGTTCAAAATAGTTACAGAGATGCATATTCCATATGTATATGACTTTCAAGGATAAGAGGTTCAAAATAGTCATAAGTTCATGTATAACATGAATTTTATCTTTAAAGTTTCCTTGAAGTCAGATTGACACCTGATCCACATCCAGCTAGCTTCAATATGGTTTAGGTGAATGAAAATTTTGTCTATCACTGAACATTAATTAGTCCTATTTAGTTGGTTTGTTACAGAAAAAAGATTTAGTGTGACATCCTTAACAGATGTTCCCAGGAAATTGCTAGGGAATTCGGGAGAAAACTGCTACCATGGTACTTTAAATGTTGCTGCAGTGAAATGCTACAGTGATTTTGATAAAAACTATAGGGAATTGATTGAATTGCTAAGTAATTAAATTATCAATCTTAAATACAATATTTCTATACATATTATATGTAAAATTCTTCACACCAAAACACAATTTAATAAAAATAATTTCGATGAGTTTTGGGATGTGCAAAAAATGAGTATCTTTTCGGGAGAAATTTTCTGTTAAAAAATCGGTGGTACATAGCACTCATCATGCTTTGTCTATTCATCATAATATTTTACTATTTCATCCTAATATTCTATATTGACAGTGCCTCATCGCATCTGTGTCGGACTGCAACATCTCATGGAGATTATAAAATGAGATGTGACATCATAACTTGCAGTTCTGCTTTCATCTCACTTTTGGTGTCTGGTAGTTTGCAGACTTGTGTTGATGATCAGGTAAAACCTCTGGATATTAGTTGTTCTCTATCTTCATTTGGAGTGCTTGAATCATGATTCATTTGTATTTTGGTTGTCAAACTGCAGCTCGTGGAAAATCTCATAAAGAATGAACTCATTGATAAAAGGCAGCTAGTCCATGCTCAGCCATGCTGCGAGGAAAACAAGCTTTCTTTGAGCCAACCTCTAAGTACTGATTGCATAGCTGCAGGAGCATCTGTCTTTGAAGTTTGCATGAAAATTCCGTGCTGGGCTCTCCAGGTTCTTTGCTTATTAACATAAGCTCCAGCCTCCATTTAAATTGTCAAATATGTTATGGCTTGCCTGTTGCTATGTTGGCTCAAGTCAGAAATGTTTTGTTCTGTGTATAAATGTTATTTTGATCTTCTTGGGTGAGCATCGTTCTGAAATGATATATGAATAGTTTTCAACCTTAGATTGCAAATGTTTTAAGATAGCACTTGCATTAGTGGGAATCCTTCAATTGTTATGACTTAAGACTGTATTCATCATGTTCTTTGGATCCATTAAAGCTCATTATCTTAATTTATTTTGAATAGTCATCTTGCTACATGCCATGATTCTATGAACTTGCTTCCGTACAGATTCTAAAGCATCTTGCGAGTGATTTCTCTTGCCGTAGCCTTGTCACACTTGGCATTGCAAGCATACATGGCATTGCAGTTGCTTCCTTTGAAAAAGAAGATGCAGAGCGCCTAATTTTCTTTTTTGCTAGTGAAGGGAAAGAATATGCTAAGGAAGATGCTTTCCTCTCTGGTCTCCCTATTTCATCTTCAATCACCAGTAGTAAATTAAGTGCTAGACCTGAAATTCTTATTGATGGAAATTGGAAATATTGCCATAGTCTATATTGGAATGCTAGAAAGAAGCAAAAGCAGATGACAAAAGGGACTCATATGCAGGGACTAAAGGTCGCTGCTATGAGGCCTATTCCACGATCTCGGAGGCAGAAAAATATTTATTTTGATGTTGCATATGCTGGAAATCTGGCAAATCTTGAGGAACAAACTGCAGCCTCTAGAAAACGAAAAAACATGTCATCAGCTTCTCCAAGATACGGGATTTTTTCACGTGATAGGGACCAATCCAAACCCAGGGAGCATTCTGCATCCTCTAGAAAACATAATTCATCAATCCGTGGATGCTCTATATCAAAACCCACCTCTTCAATGCAAATAAGTTCCACAACAAAATCGGCTTCTTTTGTTAACGAGCATTCAACTTCCATTCACAGATTAGCTTATTCTATTAAAAGAAGGTCGGAGGCTAAATCAGACCTTGCAAAGCAGAGAATTTCTTCAAACCCGATACCTCTGAAGAGACATGAGTGCAATCGGTGCTCAATTCATGACTGCTCAGAAGTAAGCCTTATAATGCTGGTTTGTTTTGTTTAGCACCTGTGCAATCAGTGGTTGATACTTCTTGATGTTCTTTACTAGGAAGAATTTCTGAAGGATTTGGTGCACTTTCTTATCCTGAGGGGACACCAACGGCTGGTTCCTCCAGGAGGTCTTTCTGATTTTCCTGGTGCTGTACTTAACACAAAGCGCTTAGACTTGTTTTGTCTTTATAAAGAGGTTTGTTTCTATAAAGAGTACAATGTACATCGATGAAATACAGCTTTCCATCAGAGGCTTTCACTTGTAACATTTTCCTGCATGGAAATTTGTAAGTTCCTATTACAAACTTGCTGTATGTCAGTTCAGGTGGTTACCAGGGGAGGCTATTACGTTGGAAATGGCATTAATTGGAGAGGTCAGGTTTTCTCTAAAATGAGCAACCATTCAGCCAATAATAAAATGACTGTAAGTTCATATCCTAAATGGATATTCTATCGTAGTTTTTGCTTTAAAATGTATAGAATTTTGCTGATACTTGCATGCATAAATGATAATGCATTTTTGTTGTAGTCGATTGAAGGCTCATTGAAGCTTATATATGAAATCATTTCTGGCATGTTGAGTTTTTGAGCGATTCCTGTGAAGGCCATTTGTTTTAACTGTTCATCACAAAATTGGTTTCGAATGTACTAGAAAAATTGAAATCACTTATTCAATCGCTAAAAAATGATTTTCCCTTCAGTATATGTGCATTGGAACAATCTTACCCTACCCAATTCAAGTTTAGTTCTAGTTGGATTGATTTGTGGAATTAGGCATGTCAAAACACGTGAACTAACTAACATAGGACATTATGAAAGGATTTAATCTCAATTCATATGACATAAGGCTAACGAAAAAAAATTGTTTAACAAGACATGAAAATTCTTAAATGTTGTTTCAAAAATTGACTCAACCCACCAACTAGATCCGAAAAATCCAGATTTGGGTTGACCCGTTTAATAAATGAGTTTATTGAATGGATTGTGTTCAGGTTGACCCGAAAACTCATTTTTGACCCAAAAATGACCCGTTTAACATATCGTTTCTTAATTTTTTTTACATGTGGGTTTAACCTTTATTATTTTTTATCAAATATCATAAATTTTATAGCTAATAAGTTATAAAAGAATTTCTTTAACTAAAATGGGTTAATGAGTTGGTTTTAGCTGGTCGTGTTTGGGTTTGTGTTTTTGACCAATTTATTAAACGGTTCGGATTCGGTTTGACTATATTTGAGTCGGGTTAATTTTGGGTCGGACCTGAATCCGTCCGGCTGACCCGTTTCGACACTCCTACTTTATTGCTATTCTACAATAACAAGCCATCGGACATGTGAGCTTATTAATGAAATAATAATACTAGTAGTTAAATCACCAAGAAAATTGAAATGAGTTTACTGAGTGAACAGAAAGATTACGTCTTGGAATAAAAGATCTAAACTAATTCATAATTAAGGCATCTAAAGAAGAAACTACTACAATGACGTGAGTACATGACAAAAACCCATCTCAAAACAAAATCTACTATTGTTTTACCAATCAAATGATCTGGATCTGCAATAATTTTATTGGGGTTAGCTTGCAAAACAGCTTAGCATGTAGTTTATGAAGGCATAAACGAGATGGTATCAGACATTCAAAATATACACTGAGTGGCATGAATAACAAGTTATAAGGTATAGAAAAATGGCTATAACTAATTCAAATAAACTATCGTCTTACTGAAATTATTAATTTGTCTAACAGATAATGAACTGATAATGAAACGTGCTATAAAAATCATAACTCACATGCTAAGTAACATTGATGATGAGCATTCACATCATATATATATATATAAATATATATATCTGAGATTATAACATTAAAGGTGATGAGCATATGTTGACTACTTGACTATAATACTAAGGCTTTGTTTAGGACAATTTTCTTGCTGCTTTCTAAAGCAGTTTTTAGTTCAAAAATTTCTTGAAAACAACAAAAAAGTATTGGCTAAAAGCTTTCTCAAACGAAGTGTAAATTATCCATGGTTACATAAATATTGTATATATATGCAACAACAAGATCATACGTCTAAGCAATGTACAATTTTATCTTTATAAATTTTATCTTTATAATTATTATTATGCGCAAAGTGATAACTACTTGCAAACAAGGGAGTTCGATTTTCATAGTTTTAAGGAAAGGGAAACCTGAATTATATGGTGGCTGCTTTTGGGAGGGGAAATGTGCGGAGGATGCAGGTGGAGGGAGGCAGTTCTCGATGTAGGGGAGGTAGCGGCCAGTCAATGCAATGGTTTTCGACACGCTTGTCTTCGAAGTCCTTGAAGATTTGGAATTGTTGTAAGGTCATCCCGATGAAAATGAATTGAACATAAGTTGTTGAAGAGATTTCTGAATTTTAGAAAATTAAGGTTCTTGATGGGTTTGCATAGATCACAAAACTTCGACCAAATCTGCATTCTTCATCTTGGGTCAAGGAGAGCACCAATTGTTATGCCCCCTGATTCAAGGATAAGACACCTTTTGAGTAGGTGTAGACTTCTAGATGAAAGATATTAGAAAGAGAGAAGCATAATTCTATTTTTTAAAATGAAAAAAATTACAGCAGCTGGGTATATAAAAACTTGGTTGAACCAGTTTTGGGCCTAATGTCTGAGCCGGTTTGGTCTAAACAATGTTTAATGCAAAAATAGAGTGTATTTTAAATAAGAAAAACTAAATATTGATGAACTGGTTTGGGCTGCAGAAGTCCGGAGGTTTCCTATGGCTGGGCGGTAGTTCCTTTGGATTGCATGTGTGCGGAAGTGGCTGGTGGTGGGCTGAAGTGCCTGCTGTGGTGCATCGTGAGCTATTTTGTGGACTTTTCTTCTTTGATGATTTACACGAGTTTATTTATTGCTGTTTTCAGGTTCTATCTTTTCGACCCAATTTTCCCGGGTGTTCTTGATTATTGTGGGGTGTAACTGATGTGAATCAATGAAGGAATTGCGTGCAGAAATTAAAACAAGAGTTAATTAAAACTCGCCAATACAAATTTATTACCAATAAAATAAAGGATTGAAATTATTCTAGGTAATCAACTTGCTTAGGCGAAGATTTGCTTTGAGATCACCAAACAATTAATAACATTTCAAGATAAAAGAATTACTTAAATGCTCATAACAAAATCCCACAAATAATAATGAAAAAGTTCATCTTGAGCACCCTCTCACTCGTTCACTCTTGGGCTTTAGCGGAGAAGAAAGGACCACACGAAGATGGAGAGCACTACTACAGAAAAGGATATGAAGGACTTCGTTACCGGAGAGGTAGCCGCCGGTGGAAGTGGTGGTGGATGGCGTCCGATGATCGTCCAAGCGTAGTCTCGAAACTGTTGGTCGATGATGCTCACAAGAATCGGGACGACTCGCTCCAAGTATGCTTCAACTGTGGCGTCGTCTTCAAATCCTACGTCAAAGCACGGAGATCGTAGGATATTAATGCTTCCGTCGGCGTTGAATACTAATCCCCCTCAAACTCCTGATCCGCCATTCAACATTGAGGAGGGCGGGAAGAAGAAAAGGGATGAAGAGTTGGGCCGTGAGCTAGGGAGGGGTGAAGAGAAAATCTGAATTTGAATTTCAGATTTTCTTGGCTTGGAGGGAGAAGTTATTTTATCATTAAACTTCCCCTAAATTAAATTAAGAGGGCGGCAATTAGGGGGGAAATTAAGGGTGTAATAAGTATATGCCTAGGTGGCAAGGAGAGGGAAACAGCTAGGTGTGAGGGGCCGGCCAAGCAAGGAGAAAGAGAAGGAATTTGTTTAAGTAGTGGGGCCCATGGGATTAATTAAATCTTGATTTAATTTCAGGTTTTAATCAATTAGGGAGATTGAAATTTGAATTCAAAACTTGGGGGAATTGGCTGGTTCGGCCACAGGGAGGGGGAAGGAGACGGGCCAAGGAGCAAGGGGAAGGGGGCGGGTGTAAGGGAAAGGTGATGGGGAAGAAGAAAAACAGTAAAATACAAGTAAACCAAGAGCTCACCGTCGTGGGCTGTTGGGTATTTCGGGTGGAGCCTCTCCTAGGTCTCATCTCTTTCTCTCAAGCTCTCAAGCAAGAAGACAAAAGAAAATCTCAGATATTTTTTTTAATCCAACATTCACCTCATACAATAGGAGACCCCTTTATAAAGGTCTCAAAGCATGAAAATGAAAATGAAAATGACTCATATGCCCATCGGGCTACAACAAACACTACGCCTTCATAAGGGCAAAATAGTCACTAATGCATGAAATAAAAGATACATAAAATAACATAGAAAAATATCATAAAATGACATGGCAACATCAGAAATATAAGCTCCCAATCGTAGTCGTCGATCTACGATTCCTTCGTCGGTAAACCTGCCTAAAATGTCTGTCGATGACCTCATCAGTAACTGATTAAGCTTTTGCTTAAAAATTTATCATTCATTTAAGCATATAGATCCAAAGTTTTTAAATTTTGTTTTCTATATCTTGTCTGCACATGGTAAATTTAAAAAAAAAAAATCATAAAGCAGTTATTTCAACTCCTTCATTACGGACTTCCAAGCGAAGGCGTCTATGTAACTATTTTGGGAAAGAGTTTTGTTGGTCCAAGGGAATCAATGAAGAACAATAAATCCGTTCTATATTTTTCAAGGATTATTTTCGATTATACTATTTACATCAGGATTTTGTTAATTTATTTTATTTGAAGTTAGGATTAGTTATTCTTTTGGATAATATTAGATTTGAATTTTAAACTATGTAGGATTTTATAAGAAGTACTTCATTTTATCTTTGTAAACTTATTTTTATGAATAGGCCTGATGTAGAACGAAAGCACCGGCTTTGCTACGGAGAGGACCTCCTCTCCGAAATCTGAAATTGTTCCTTGCAAACTGAAATAAATCTGGATTTATTCCAGCTCACAAAATCTGAAATTTTTTTCTTCAGGTTTTTGTGCCAAAACCTGAGAAAATTCTCAGGTTCCAAGTAGAAGGAATGCTTCACGGGAGGAGTTTGGGACTAGTAGTCTCCCTCTATCTATCCTATCAGGCCCCTTCCATTGTTCCTGATCTCTATGTTTGCTCTGTTTCCCTGGCTCTACATTAGATCAAGTTATTGCAAAATCTTGAAAAAATATCTTCAAAGCACTTGCAGCTATGATTAACAAGATTGAAAAGAAGAAATGGATCATTTGTCAACAAGAAAACAAGAAATGCAGTTATGTTTTGGTTTTAGCTACGTATATTATGCTTTCTTCTTTTGCTGTGACTGCATCTATTTATTTGTCTCTGGTCTCTTATTGAAATGCAGTTGATTAATTCCTAAGAAAGACTGAACCATATCCTTTCTCCCTGCAAAATTCTGATAGGGAATCACATATGCCTTAAAAAGACATTATGAAACTTATCTGCTGGAGTATGAGTTAGCTCATAATGATGTAACTATCGATCAGTGTGTTTTGTGTCACAGGTGTGCCGCTTTAATTTTCCTATTTTTTCTTAAAAAGTTTGTTCTACATTTCTTCCTATGATTAACAATATGTAACTTATATCAGTGGCACCACTTCCGGCGATTGGTTGAGCTGTGGAAGGTGCAGCAAATGGGTTCATTTAGGTTGTGATAAAAGATCTCTTGCTGCTTTCAAGGTGTGTCATTCTTGCTGACTCCATATTAATAGAAATTTATATTTTCATTTGTTTATTCTGTTTTTGCTTGAAATTTTTTGCAAAAGATAAACCCTGTGCTATTTGAGGACTGATTTCCAACTACGGCTTTGTTTGGGACGGCTTTCTTCTTGCTTCTTAAAACGGCTTTCTAGTATAAATTTTTAATTTTTGTACTAAAAAATCGCTTTAAGAAGCAGGAAGAAAGCCGTACCAAACAAAGCCTACATCTGTTCACGGCTATCAATATAAAGCTTATTATCCTAGTACAATATGAATTCAGGATTATTCGAAGACAGATGGAATTGAGTACATCTGCCCGCACTGTGGCTGAATATGCACAAGATAGGACGCAATGACATGATTTTATCTTCTCCTTTTCAATGTTTATAAAGAGGGGCTTCCACTTCATAGTGCCACATGGTAATTATCGAAGAAAAATTAGGTCACATATCTTTCATTTTTCATTTTATTTTCTGCTATCCAATATGTGCATTGAATGGGGGTATCGGCTTGGACCAAAAAATCGGAACATGGAGAAATCAAATAGATGTAGTTGATTTATATCTTTTGCGGTTCTTTCATTCCCCCATTTTTTATTGCCACTTTTTTTTTTTTGGAAATCTTGCAACTTGTAACAATTTTTTTAACCCAAGCTTATTAAAATGAGTTACAGAGGATCAGAAATCAGGCTTGCTTGGGCAATTTCCATGTTGAATTGTGAATGTCTTTGGTGGTTCCCTTTGAAGAAGTTTCTTCCAGACTTTTGACGTCAGTTTTGACAGGACACTAAGGAGAAAAGCATATATTTACTTGTAGTTAATTTTTATTTCTGTTTAGTTTTCATTGTCTTTCGTACTATATAGAAGCATGTGCCCAGTTCCAAATGAAAACAGGTAAACTTTGAAGGTGGGAAATAGATGTATTCTTTCAGCATAAGAAGACAACATATGATGGTATTATAACAAGTTAATAAGTAATTATTCCTAGGGGTGTCAATATTTGACACGATCCGAAAACCCGACTCGAACCCGATCCGAAAATTTCGGGTTAGGATCAACCCGGACCCAAAATGGCTCGGGTTCGGCTGTTCGGGTTCAAAAATTCAATCCTTTTAAAAAATGTGGTCGGGTTGACCCTTTGACCCAAAATTGACCCGTATTGACCCGAAAACCTATTTTTGACCCGAAAAGCGGAGATTGACATGTTTTTTGACCTGAAAACTAGCAATTTTTTCTCGACCTCGAATCATGTCCAAAAAACTGACCCGTTTACAAAAACGGGATGGGTTCGAGTTGACCCGAATAGTGTCGGGTCAGTTTCGGGTTTGACCCGAACCCGACCCATGACCCAAAATTGACACCCCTAATTATTCCATAATTCATGACGAAGAGATTGCGATATTGACAGGCTATGAGAAAATCTGTGGGAATAATGATTGCATGATTATTTAGAGGCCCCGGCAAGTTGCATCTCAAGATCAACCCTTATCTTTTGCCAACTATGTTGATAATCCGATAGCGCTTGGTCAGATTCTTGGTTTTAGCTAAGTGCAGTCCTTCCCTTGGAAATACTTTGGAATTCCTTTATCATCTACTTGCTGATTTGTGGTTGTGGATTGCCAATCTCTGTTTGATAGAACTAACATGTGGCTTGTTTGTTGGAAACATAAATTTCTTTTCTTAGATTGGCTCAACTCATCAGATCTTCTATCTGGAGCTCTTTCTTACTAGCACATTTCTGTTTGTATTCCTAAATGTGCATTGAAGAATGCTGCAAGCTATCCTGTTTAAATGTCAATCAAAACAAGATGCATAGTCATTTAGAATCAAGCTATACTTTTTAAATCGAATGGTGGATTGAGTTTTGCTTCCCTAAATTTGTTTTTCCATTTGCAAAATTGAACATTTACTTTAGCCATAGCCTACTTGACAGATTTGTGGACTATCTACTATGGGTCCATTTGGAGTTTTAGCCCCTGTAATGTCCCATTTTTTAAAGGATTTGCAGTCTATTGATACCCAGATTTGCAGGTGGTTATCTTTTTCTCATTGGTCATGGTAAATCCTTAGCTTTGTTTGATGACATTTAACTTGGGCTTCGTTTTGGATGATTTTCTTACTGCTTTTTAAAGTGGATTTTTCGTACAAAAATTTCTTTAACTAAAAAAATTATACTAAAAAATTGCATCAGAAAGCAGTGAGAAAGCCGTCCCAAACGAAGCCTTAATGGGTCATTTCTTAGCGATTTTTTGGGATCTCAGGTTCACATCATTTTTAACCTCCCAATTGATGCTAAACTTGAGGATACAATTTTCATTTGACTTGAAATTAAATTTTTATCATTCCAATTTGAGTTTTAATAAATTTATAAAAGAATAGAATGTTTTGATGAGATGAAATCAACAACATCAAAAGTAATTCAATAACGAGTAAAGATGAACTTATAATTGAAAAAAGCATTTGGAAGTATAGTTGAAAAATTTTATGGTCAATTATCATTAGACCTTCATTGCATGACGGTTGTTATCATTCTTTACCACTTCTCTTACAATATTTATTATAATCATAGGTGGCCAAGCAAATGCTCTTCATTTTGTAATCTCATTTTCTTCAATTGTGAGAAAAAGAGTGAATTTATATCACTTTACATGAATGTTAGATTATTTCAATTATGCCAAACAATATAGTTTTTCCTCCTTTAGCATGCAACACTTCAACTCCTTTTATGGGAAGCATTCCTAGCATTCTAATGGAACTTCATATTTATGGGGACCATTCTCTTAATTAAAGGCAACATAACCCACCCAATGGAGAGTAATTATTCTGTCTGGCCACCGAATGCATCCGGAACCCAATAACAAAATGCCACGTCACTAAAGTGCTCGGTACAGCACTCGGTACCGTGCTCGGTGCACTCGGTATGTTTGGTATTTTCACCGGATGTAATAATTTTTTCAATGGAGGCAACCAAAGTTTGACCTTGTTGTTCCTCCTTATGAGTACGACCCTCCAAAGTTAGCTTAATTTTAAGCTAAGTTTGGAGGATTGTATTCATAGGATGGAGGAACAATAACATCAAATCAATAAGGAATTCTATTATAACAGGATGAACTTTGCCACCCCCTTTGATCAATAACATGTCAAGCTGAAAGGCCAAGTAGCCCAGACGTTGGGCCTCAGCACAAAATGCTTAATATAATTTAAGGAGTTCAAGTTAAATATCTATAAGGAGCATATATTTATTGTATATGTTACATTTGTAGGAAACATGGAAACCTTTTTAATTAAAAGTGATAATTATAATTAATATTAAAAATTAATTATTTTAGATTATTAATAATGATTTATAAGATATTGAAGTAACTGAAGTTAATATTCAGTTATTAATTATTTCATTTATTTTTAATAGCATGTAATATGAAGTAATTGATGGACTGGGAGGTATAATGCTGGTGGCTAACATCAAGAGTAGGATTGCAGCAATTATATTGCTCCCTAACATACGATAGTATCCAAATTCCTCATAGTCTATTGCTCAAACCAGCATGTATACTGAGCAAAAGCAACTGTTAACCTCTACTTGTTCGATGCAATGAAGATAAGCCCGTTGAAGTTAATAGCCACCGCCTGCCCGGACGCCTGACCACCATCCCTACCTATGTTGCTCGAGCTACTCGTACTGCATTGCCCTGACGCCATATTGCCAGCCCTCGTGCTGCTCGAACTGCCAGCTCGGGCTTCCTAGATGCCTAACCGCTAGCCCCATATTCATGTCTCTGTAAGTGCAGTCACATTGCAATAATTTTGTATGATGTCACGAACATCACCATCTACATTCACCTAAATCTGATTCGACACGTCATGATCATCGATATCAAAATCATCTTCGCTAGATCCACTATCTATTATCTCGTATCATTTATTGACAACAGGCATTGATGGTCTACAATTAGTACCAGCCATCATATTTAATGAAGATGTTTGGTTCGAACTACTTACAACATCTACTCCAACATGATGGAACGCCACCTCATATTCCAAACCAAATGACTCACAGTTTTCACAAGTCAAAGTTTCATGAGATTTCTCCTCGACCTCAGCATACATGATAATAAATGACCTATTAGCATGAGTTAACACAAGTCACATACTTCATCATCATCAACATGCGACGCAATGAACTCACTCCCAACTGGAAGACGACATACTATGTTGACTGTGAATCTAGATGGATCAAACTTTAGTGCTGTAAGCATTCCAATCTTGAGCGGCTCCAATTTTGTATTCAACAGCACTAACAATGGCCGATTCTTACAACTAATATATGTTGTCGCAAAATTCTCATCTACAATTAGTTTCCCATCATACAAGAGTAATAACGATGCTCCTCGTCCACTCATTACGTAACCTCTAAAACCCCCGAAAAGCCAAAATCAACATATAACATACTACTGGTGGATTATAACATAACTAATAAATTATTAACTTCATTGTAAAGAATTACAAAAAAAAAAAAGTTTTAATAAAATTTTAATAAAATTCATCTCATCAGAAAAATAGAAAAATAGATAAGCTTCACTTACTATTTCATTGGCTTAAACTTGTTATGTAAATTTGCTATTTAAATATCAGATAATTTAATGGATAAAAGGAATTATATATTGTGTAAGCTTTATTTTCTAGAGTTACAAGAGTAATAACGAAGTCATGAATACCCTTTATTTATTTAGTTAAGTATGATAAAAATAAGATTATTATTGATAAAAAAAATATCATGTTGAATGAAAATTAGCAAAGATTAAACCAAATTATAGAAAGTAGCAAAAGAGTTCTTTTATTTAGAAAGACAGAAATAAAAATTTTATATGGGAAAGACTAAATATTATAAAAAAAAAAACTTTCATATTAACATAAAATCTAGCAAAAATTCAACCAACAAATTTAACTCTAACAACTTAGATCTCACAAAATCTCTAACAATTACTACATTTTCACCTCACAATATTTACTGAAAACAAAAATACAGAAAGAAAAAAAAACCTTCTATAGCAAACTGGATTTAAGTAGACACGGCGTGTGGGTTTACTGCTTCTTCAAGTAATTTTTTAGCACAAAAATTTTACTAAAATATTATTTTAAGAAGCCGTAAGAAAGCCATCCCTACCAAACCCTAAGAGTCCAACTTTCTGACTGCTCTGCTTTCTAGACAACAACCACAATTTCATTAAGCTATCACATTCTCACTGTTTTAAGAAATTTCTATGATGAAAAGTTATTTTCTGCAATCATAGTAGCGAAGTTATTTTCTTCACTGTAACTTTACAACCAACTTTATAAAATGCTACAGTCGTCCCAAACAAGCCCTAATATTTCAAGAATTAAACTTGGCGAGTTTTAATCTAAGTGTTTGTTGAATCCAAACACATTGCCAAACACTCATCTTTCCTCATACAATTATCAATAAATGCTTCCTTTTGGTATTTGTAATATTAAATGCTTTCATCATTGCTTGGAAATAGGTCCAAGGGATGAGCAATAGTAATTGTTGCATCCTGGAATTCATTAGTGATGACTAAGGGCTCGTTTGGTTACCACCTGCCGTTTGTTTAAGTTGGTAGAGCGGAGTGTAAAAAAAACGGAGTTTAAAATAAAATTATTTAAAACAACGGGAAGTTGTTTGGTGGATTCGCAGCATTCGCTGGATCTCAGTTCTCCGCTCTACTCTAGAAATGATAAAAGACAAAATTATCCTCTTATTTTAATTAATTATACCCGGATCTCAAATGCTGAAATTCTGTCCAACATGATATTTTCGGCTCCAGATCTAATATTTCACTTCGAAACTACTTAACTTTCTGTATCACAAACATCTATGATATATATATTTATTTCATTTCTCTGTTTAGTATGTGTTTAACAAAACATTTTAAAATATTTTTACTTGA